TGCCGACTACGATGCCGGCGAAACGTCTGAGAATGTATCAAGTCCACGGTCGGATGCTGGGAATCACGGACTCGGTGCGTTCTACATAGTCTCCCTGAGCACAAGACCAAGTTGCGACAACGAGGTCAACCCACTTGCCTTTTACAGTTTGCCAAAATGTCCGCAGGCCTCTTCTCTCCGGTCGGGTCGGGTCGGGACGCCTCGTGGAGCCCGCGTGGACGCGCTATTGGCCACCGGCTCCTCAGAGTCTCTGACAGTCTCTAACCGTCAGTCGTCTAGACTCACGGTTCGTGCCGGTCGTTAGGCGCGTCAGTCCACTTGAGTCCTGTATGTCCCTTGGCCAATCGGGCCGAGCTTTCAATCTGACCTTTCCCATCCCGTCTCTTGGGCCGCCAGTGTCCAGGCGAGCGGAACCCTGCTCTGGTGCGTCCCGCCTCCGTTTGCAACGCGGGAATTGCATCTTCAGAGGCCCACGTGATGAAGCCTCCGCTTCTGTCAATTTCCGCCCCAACAACAAGATAAGACTGACATGATTTTTCCCAAACTGACCTAAAAGTTGACCGTCGGTAGAACGTGAAGTTTAGACGAAGGCCATCAGATCACTTGGTAGCCAAGTGACTGATAACAGATAGCAACAAGTCCGGACTGCGCACCCAGGAAGTGGTAAACAGCGGTCCTGTGTGCTTCTGCCGGATGGCCCACGCGACTGGCCGGCGTGTGGTACAAGTCAGCATGCCAACCAAGACAACCAGGTCGACAGCTCCTGCCTTACTGGGCTCTTGGGCCAGACTGCAGTGGGCAAATGTTGCATTTCACCCACTCATAAAACTGACCCTGAGACTAACAGAAGATGGTGTATTTGTGGGACCTATGCGACCCAGGCGGACCGGAAGTGTTGTGCATAGTTGGCTTGCAGTTGCCTCTTCCGTTCATCATTCTTGGAGCTTTTTTTGCTTGAATCTTTGACTTGAAGGGCCTGCAGACCGAGGCCTTCAACTATTGCCTCTGCGACTCAGGAGAACGGCGGCATGGCCTGCGGTGGCACTCGTGAACTCTTCTCCACGACGACTGGCTCCTTTTGTTTAATTGTACTACGAGTGTGAGCATGACAACTAAAATAGTATAATATGACAAGCAAATAGCAAGTTAGTGGACAGCTCCCGATCGCTATGCCAAATGACAGGCATCCTCAGAACTTTAAGTTAACACAGTCGCCAATACCCATCGGCTATACCGGCACATGCTATTTGTAGGCTCAACTAGAAATGGAAAAACATAATATGTCGCAAGGCTACGCAAAAGCCTACTTTTAAACCAAAATAAGTAGTGCAATTGATTGCTGTAGCCGACAAATTGCTTGCTTCATACACAATCCCACAACAAAATGTGATGCGTGCAAACGCCAGGCCCTCCTGGAAATGCACATCTGTCTTGTATGACCCAAGTGCTCGCGTGCCAGTCTGGTGAAATAGTCAACGTGTCAACGTGGCACAAACCGGGTTCGAGTGCCGCTAGGGGTGCTGGTGAGGCCAGTTTAGGCGAGGTCGAAATTGCAGTCCGCTTTTGCCTGGACGAGGGTACCTTTGGGAGGCAGGCCAATTCAATGGAAAAATGAGGCATGCTCAACCGACAGAGGGAAAATTCAACTACCGCTTCTTCCCATCTTCATTCCCACCATTCACCGTATTTCCTACTCTTTTGGGCTCAGTAGCAGACGTAACATAATCAGCAAACCGCTGCGTTTGAGACCAGTTTCTTCTCCGAATATCTTGACTCGAGCTACTCACTGACGAGCCTATTTGGTGTTTTCTTGCTAAAACAAGGGCCCAATCTTAGCTCCAACCCTCGCAAGAGATTTAAGGC